ATGATGAGGTAAGGATACACACACAATGGAATATTATTCAGCCTTAAAAAAGGAAAAACCTCTTTTGTTGTGATATGGATTAACTTAGAGGATGTCAATTAATTGAGATAATCAAGGCCCAGCAAGATGAATTACACACACTCTCATGTATCGGTGGAATCTGAAAAGTTGAACTCACAGAAGCAGAGAACAGAATGGTGATTATCAGGGGCTGGGAAGGTAAGGGAGGGAAGGAAAGGGGAGGTGTTGCTCAAGGGATACAAAGTTTCAGACAGAAAGAATGTACTTTGAGGCCTATTGCATAACAGTGACTATAATCAATAAAAATGGATATTTTGAAATAACAAAGGATAAATTTCTAATGTCTCACCATAAAACAAGATAGGTAAACAAGGTGGTATATATATTACTTAGCTTGATTTAATCATGCCACATTATATATTGCAAAACATCAAACTGTACCCTCAAAATGTACAAATGATGATTTGCCAATTAAAAATTATATTTAAGATTAATTAAAAAGAATGAGGTCACAGTATCTTTGGACGTTGAGAAGTTCAGTCTTGAGGGGAAGGCTTCCCTCCTACATCCATGGAAATTATTTGTCGATTCTCTAAATTCTAATATGTAATTCATCTGCTTTAGTAAAAATTGTCAAAGTCCTTTAATGCCAGTGTACTCTCAGGGGTTTTTGTAGAGGCTGAGACACTCCAGGCAAAGTAAGCTCGGGATTGTGTTCCCATCAGAAAATGTTCTGAGGAAGAGAGGGAAGAAAGACCTCAACCCTTTCTCTTGAGAGTGTTTCAGTTCCCATGGTACTTGAGTAACTAACACTGAGGCCCTGGGTGGGCCCCCTTGTGCTCTGTTCCGGGGTAGGGGGTGGCAGGGTGAGTGAGTCACAGGGACGTGGTTCTTCCCTGACTTCCCATGTCCTTGCCCCCTTAGTAGGTCACAACTGGAGATGCCCAAGTCCTAAAGGACCTCTATCTCCACACCAATCCTGACTAATGGTCACAGGACTCTCTCAGCAAAGGGGACTGTTGGGTCCTTTTGTGACAGAATGACTATTCCCCCACCCACCCCCACTAATGATCACTGCCACAGCCTCTCACACTACTAGAAAGGTTCCTGATTTTAAGTGAGCAGTTTATATTTCATCAAATACAATTCAAAAGGTACTTAACTTCATTATTTCAAATCACCTTAGAACCATGTTACAGTGAAACATGCCACGCCCCAGGTGACTTTGACATCTTGAATTTTTTGTACACCTGCATCAGTGGTACTTGAAGGTAAGCCTTCCTTAGGGAAGAAAGACCTCAACCCTTTCTCTTGAGAGTGTTTCAGTTCCCATGGTACTTGAGTAACTAACACTGAGGCCCTGGGTGGGCCCCCTTGTGCTCTGTTCCGGGGTAGGGGGTGGCAGGGTGAGTGAGTCACAGGGACGTGGTTCTTCCCTGACTTCCCATGTCCTTGCCCCCTTAGTAGGTCACAACTGGAGATGCCCAAGTCCTAAAGGACCTCTATCTCCACACCAATCCTGACTAATGGTCACAGGACTCTCTCAGCAAAGGGGACTGTTGGGTCCTTTTGTGACAGAATGACTATTCCCCCACCCACCCCCACTAATGATCACTGCCACAGCCTCTCTCACACTACTAGAAAGGTTCCTGATTTTAAGTGAGCAGTTTATATTTCATCAAATACAATTCAAAAGGTACTTAACTTCATTATTTCAAATCACCTTAGAACCATGTTACAGTGAAACATGCCACGCCCCAGGTGACTTTGACATCTTGAATTTTTTGTACACCTGCATCAGTGGTACTTGAAGGTAAGCCTTCCTTTTTCAGATAACACTATGGGGTTTCTGCCAATCAGAAAGCAGCACTCTTAACTACTATTATTATCATTATTTTAAGGGAAATCACCTCCCTCCCTTCTTCATTCAAATAATTTTCCAATGTGAACCAACCCTGGTTTGGAAGACATAAGACTATATGTTTGAAATAGCTGAATCTGTTACATACATGATGATAAAAACAACTGTTACTAATAACGACAGCTGTTCTGTGCCTGGCTGCTGCACCTCTGACTGAGAAGCTGCTTCCACCTGGTCATTAGTCCACAAGTTCCTCCAGTCACTGCTTAGAGAATGCGGAGAATTTTGAGTCTTGGGCTCTAAGGCTTTGAAAGTGCATGCTTTTTATTTCCAGAGAGCCTCTAACCACTGACATAAATGCCAATGGGAGAGGCGCATCACACCCTCCCTCACTGTATTAGAGAGAACTTAGGAAGACTACTTAGGAAGATGTGGCCATCCCATTTAGTGAGTGCACACATTATTCCACTTTTCTCCTTGATTGTGAAGCTCACAGGACTCGGGGAGATGAGGAAGTTACGTGATGTCTGTGCACAGCGGGAGGCTGTCTGAAAACCCATGTAGACAAGTAGCACCCCACCCTGCAGGGGAGGGCCTGAGACCAGGGGCTGCAGAACTCTGTTCCCTCCCACAGTCACCGGCAGTCCTGCATGATGCCAGCGCCTACTTAAGAAGCCAAAGCTCCTTGGTTTTCTGCATAGGAAATTAAATAGGAACTGTCTCTCCCATCAATTTCAACAGGGATCTCAAGTTCTTCTCCTTCCAGTTTAAGCAGCAGAGTTAGAAATACAACCATATGAATGTACAGACCTGAAAGAATTTACCAACACCAGACCAGATCTCCAAGAAGTTCTTAAGGGAGTACTATACCAGGAAAATTAAATACAGACACACAGAAATGAGAGTTCAAAAACTAAGAAAATGACCGACTTAATCCTAGGGGCAAGTCTGGAGTTGAATATTATACCCCAGAATTTAATCGAGTAGATCGAACCACAACAGAAGAGAGATTGAGTACATGAGACTGAACTGGTAAAATAGAATTTCATGACTTTTGACTAAAACATTGCTGATTTTCTTCTAGGCTTTGTTTTCCTGTTTTAAGGATTTTTGTCCTGTCTTGAACTGCCGATAGGTTCATGTACCTACTCCTTGAACAGAATCCTAACTGTTCCCTGGCTTTAAGTTTTAAGCAAATTTCCTTAGCATTTCTTTGACTTATTAAAGCTAAAACTGCTTTTCTTGAAATTAAAAAATATATTTAAAAATACCTATTTAATGACCACAGTAAGCTATATAGCATCAGCCAGGTGCTACCTTATAGTATATTCATTCTACTCAGTTGCACGCCTGAAGTCAGACATGTATTCACAGATATGTATATACCAGCTGAACTTGTTATTGAAAGTAGTTATTTAACAAATTTTGTGACTCAATAAAATGTGGGGGAAAAAAGGAATGGAAAACAGCTGTAGACACCTGAGAGTGTAAAAGGAGGGTGGGAGATGGCAGAGGGAGAGAAATAGGGGTAAAATATACACATACATATGCAACTAGAAATGGAAAATTACTGATGATAACATGTATGATTAAGCCACCATGCAGTATATTCTGGATGGGAAATCACAT